GCTTTTTCTTTCAGATTTTCTAAAAGCTCAGTTAGAGATACTTTAAGCACAGCATGCTATAACTGTGTTTTAATAGCACTTACCTATATGTATGAATTATTTGGTACAGTGTAACTGTGCACAGTATTTGCTTTATTTCCAACACACTGAGTGCAAAGCCTTACTTTTCCAAGAGTGAACCAGAACCCTTAAAAAAAAAAAAGGGCTTCAAAAGCCCTCTGTGCCTCAATTTCCCATCCATAATATGGTCTTCCAGCCAGATTTGTAATTGTCGCATATGCAGTCTGTCCAGGATTAAAAGCCCATCCAACAAGATATATTCAGGGTTACTAAAATGTATTAGTTATGTCATGTGTCCGTTCTCTGGGCTCTGTACACCTGAACTTGTATGTGCAAAGTAAAATGATAATTTTGCTGCTTCTAAGTTGTTTCATTTTGTTTAAGCAATTCTGATTTCTTATTGTTAACTGTCCTGAGCCTGCATTGGTAAGGGTAAAGTATACGGGTAAATTGAAATGAAGAAACACATTTACCCTCCTTTGTTAAACCCATTAAGATACAGAAATACACACACAGATTTTTACAGAGTGGTTTTTATGTACTATCCAGTGCTCTTAAAGTACCACATTTTATCCAAGAAGCAATCACTGGGAGTTGAAATCTGAGGGAAGACTTTGGCTCCTAAAGCATTTGTCATGAAGGCTTCATTGTAGTGCTTAGTTACTACTGGAGTGATCCTTCCCTCGCACAACAGCTTTACTTTAAGCCAAGGTTCATTGTAAGTAGAATGAATCAAAATATTTCTAGATTCCCCTCCTACTTAATTCTGATTGGAGTATCACTATATCTGGGCTCACTCTAAGCCCCTGTTTTCTTATTTTTTTCCCTCCAGAAACAATTGGCTTTTTACAGGCCTCTTTGACAGTCCAAGCCTTTTTGGAAACCACTGTTTATTCTTCCCCTCTCCTTTCATTGAAAAGAAGGTTTGCAGAGGAACACACATTCCAAGCAGCATTTTAATGCCAGGGATTTCCATTCTTATGGAAATCAGGTGCAGAAGCCCACTATTGTCTGAAGAAGAGGGAAGAACTGCAAGGGTTTTGCTGTGGGTTTTTTTTTTTCATACTTCCCCAAGATTATATTTGAATTGATGCGTCTTGCCTTTCAAGTGTCTTACAATTGCTAGACCATTCATCAATACTGACTTCTCCTTCGCTTCTTCACCCATATCGCTGTGCTTTAATGTTTAAGGCTGCAAACTCTTCATGGCAGGGACTGTATCTTATTCGGTTATTAGCCATATATATAAGTGTGTGAAAAGTGAATGTAAAAATAAGCCTCTTCCCAAAAGACTTCCAGCTTGTAGTCCCCATCCTGCATTATTAGAATCAATATGACATTTGCAGGGTTGGATCCATGAAGCTGAAAATGAGCCAACATGTGTGCTCTCATTCGCAAAAAAGTCAACAACATCCTGGGTTGTACTAACAGGAGCATCACTTGCAAGTCAAAGGAAGTGATTCTTCTTCTCTGTTTAGCACTAGTGAGGCCTCATCTGAAGTACCGTGTTTAGTTTTGGGCCCCTCAGTTCAAGAAAGATGTGGAGCGTTTGGAAAAAGTCCAAAGTAAGGCAGCAAAAATTATTACGGGCCTGGGGGGCAAGACATTTTTTTAAAAAAATTTTATATATCCCAGGCCAAATTAGCCAAAAACGAATTCCAAATCCAAGAGTCCAGAATGATAAGTGGCCCAGCTACCAGCAAACATCCTCCACCCCCATTTGGGGCTTCAGATGTTTCCAAAACCTTTGGTAGGCATCCTACTTGCAGGCCCAAGCCCGGAGGCTTGGGGTTCGGATACCCCTGAGTTTTCCTTGCCCTCAGCCGTAAGGCTCCGGGGCAAGCCAGGGAGGAGTCTCCCATTTCTATAAAGTGGGCTTAAAGCCAAGACCTTCCCACTCCAGCAGCTAAGTGTGAAGTTCACTATACATTGCCTTGGCAGGTACTATCCCCGTGCCAGGAGAGTGGCCTTCCCCGGTGCAGCTAGGAAGACCGCCTCCATGGTCACAGTGTTTCCCTTGCCAGGCAAGCATTGACTACGCTTGATCTGAGCCCACAAGAGGCCAAGAAGGAAGAATTAGAGTTATTTGGTCTGGGGAAGAGAAAGTATGGTTCTTAGAGTGCCCAGGAAGCATGCAACCCTTCCAGGCATCCAGTTTAAAGGACAAGAAACTGCACCTATTTTTTTCAGTATATTTAGATGGAGTGCTTGTCACACATGTCTCAATGAGACGTTTAAAATCTTACTCAAAATTCTCTGAAAGTTCTTTCACTTTAAGCTCCTCTTTGGAGCCATGATGTATAACAGATATGTTGCTGACTGGATATTCAAGATGTATGGGGCATGTATGATTTATGGTACGCACAAAGCCAGAGGCTCCTGGCTAGAGGGCTTTCCCTCTCTGCTCAGGGACAGACCAATCCCTATATTTGGGGCCAGGAAGGAATTTTACCTATGGTCAGGTTGGTATGGACTATGCGGGTTTTTGCCTTCCTCTGTAACAGGGGGCATGACCTTGAATATACATTGCCAGTGTTTCATAGAAGCAGAGTGTTGGCTGCCGTGGTTCCCCTGCTTTACCTGTGGCAAGTTAATGTGTTACGTCTGTCTGTGTTGTGTAGGGTTGATGGTAGTCTTATGTAGAATTTAGATGATGGATTGTATAGGATGGTTTGGATAGGGATGATCCTGCCTCAGGCATGAGCTTGGACTCTGGAGGTTCCTTCCAACCATAAGCGGCACCAGAAAATATCATTTGGAGGGTTGAGCAGTGCAGAGGGAGCCCACCAGACCCCACCCTTCCCTCCCGTAGGGGCTTTGGAGTGAGCACACGCTGGTGCTGTGCACGTAGAAGTGGAGGAGTGCACAGTGGGGGCACTGGGTGCAGCAATGCTGCAGCGGTGGCACTGGAGCCACTATTGCCAGCTCAGTTTGTGGGGGTTAGCGCTGTTAGCTCTGGCCTTCCACTGCCTATGCTTCCAGCCCTGCTACCCTATGATTTTATGAATGAAATGCAATGTGTAGTAGTGTGTATGGAGCATGTATGGTGCAGGTAGTTTGTGAACGTATGTTGGATTTACAGTGTAAGAATTAATGCAGGTTGCATGATAGACGATACATGCCAGGCGTACCCTTCTGCCTAGAATGCTATGTACAGAATCTGCAAAACACATGTACAGTCTGTAGGGTGTTTAGAGCACAAGGCAGAGTAAATGCTAAATAGTAAACGTAAAGATGTATGTGGTGCACACGTGGCTACACACGCACCCACACATGGTGAATGTAGTTATCAAGACTTGTATGACACCATATACAACAGGGAGTGGAGCTGCGAGAGAGTTTTGAAGTAATGAGGGGTTGGGGGAGAGCACTGGTAGCTAAAGGAAAGAACGGCGAGACATCAGGAGCTGGCCGGACTGTGGAAGTAATGCGTATGAGACGTGGTAGACTAACTCCCAGCATAAAGTTAGGGAATGAGGGACACCGCCTCTGAACTAGAACTTCCTAGACCTTAAATGTTGGGAGTTGCAAGGGAGAGAGGAAGTGGGGGGAAAAGCACTGGTCTGACCCAGTTCACTCTCTCTTTCAGCATCTACTTTGCCACCGTGCGATACAAGGGGTTTTGATACTGAAAGTTTAGCCACTGAATCAAGGTGCGACCCTGGCGCTTCAATGCGTAGACCGCATCCATGGGGGTCACAGTCTTGCGCTTGGCATGCTCGGTGTAGGTGATGGTGTCATGGATCATACTCTCCAGAAAGCCCTTCAGCACCTTGTGGGTCTCCTTACAGATGAGGCTGGAGATGTGCTTCATGCTGCCATGGCGAGCCAGGTGGCAGATGGCTGGGTTAATGATGCCCTGGATGTTGTCACAGAGAACTTTGTGGGGGCACCTGGCACCTCCTTTCCCCAGCGGCTTGCCCGCTTTGCTGTGGCCAGACATGGTTGAGTCTGCGCAGGCTGCAGTGTGACACGATGGTCTGGGCAAGATGGTCTGACCCAGTCCATCCCAATTCTTATGTTCTTTAAAGACTGCTCCCTGGCTACTGTCCTCTGCGCAGGGAGAAAGGACACGCTACCTAACAGCGCGGGGAGGAGCTGCTGTTGCTCCTTCCACCTCCCAACCCCTACCAGTAAATGGCCAGCAGCAGTTCAGCTCAATGCTCATGCCTCGCTTGTTCCAGAGCTCGTGGCTGGGCTACCTCAGATACCAACAGAGGACGGATTTTAATACGGCTCAAGGTGGGCATGATAAGGGTTTACAAAATGCTAAGTGGTGACGAGAAGGTCATGTGGAATCCTGCTTGCGCTCCAGAAAGTATCTTCACACTTGGCGTATAAATGATCACAACACCATGGAGTTGGACTTGCCCCGGTGAAGTAATTATCTCCCTGCTCTCGCAAGACAAGAACTAGGGATCGCAACATGAAACGAGCAGGCAGGAAGTTTAAAACGAACGCAAGGAAGTCCTTGGTCACTAACAGGTGGAGCTTGTCGCCACCAGATATGGTGGACCTGCCAGCGTAGCCGGATTCAGACAGAAATTGGACGTGTGCTCGGAAGAGAGGGGCATCGGTTGCTGTCAAGCACAGGAGCAAGGGGCACGGCTTCTGAATCCGAACGTCCTGGACCTTAGATGCAGGAGGCTGCGAGCGAGAGAAAAGGATCAGGAAAAAACCTGTTCACTCTCCCTTTGAGCACGTGCTCTCAGCGGTGTTGCCAACCCTCCAGGATTGTCCTGGAGTCTCAGGAATTAGATATAAATCTCCAGGAGAGGCTGAGCATCACCCGGGAGATACCCGATAGGGCATTCACTAAATGCTGAATCAATTCTATTTATTAAAGATTCTGGCTAAATCCCATGCTCCCGAAGATGACATAACACACATACACCCATAATATAAATAAGTTTGAACAAAGTAACCAAACTACGAGTATCATACTAAAGATAGACCCCACCAACATAAAAACATTATTAATATAAATGTAGTAGTAAATCAAGACACGATCCTCAACCGAGACAATAAAATCAAGTCTAATGTTAATCAGTAATAAAGGCTATTTAACGCTAATCGCCTCAGCCGTGTAAGCGAAAATTGCGAGACAGTTTAGTACATTTGGGTCTGTCCGCTGTAAAAGCCAGATTCATTGCTGCGCGTTTGAGACACGTATCAGTCTCTGCAAGTACGGTAATAAACAGGTCCTCCTTATGTCATTCTGTAATAATACACAGTGCACGGGATCTTCCACAACTCCTAGACACACCGGGCAGCATCTTTTAGCCCCTGGGATGGAAAGTGGACGTCCAGCCAGAAGAGCGGTGGGCACCTGGTTCGGTCCCGAGTCTAGTCAAAGAGGGTCGCCAGTTATTACTGAGATCCAAATGTGGATACCTTTCTCCCCCCTGTCCAATTTCCGGTGGCGCCGGCAGTTCCTCGGAGTCGGAGCTGACGTCGGTCAGGCTGGACAGGCCCTCAGGTGACCGAGGAGCCCGGTTCTGGATGCACCCGCTCTTGGGCGATGGGGGCACGTTGTTGCGCAGGGGAGTGGGATTTGCAGCCCCGGGTTGGTCTCCTTTTCCTTCCTCTGCGCCGGAGCCCTGAACGGATGCCCACAGCTGTCGCGTACGGGTCGATTTCCCACCCCAGGGATGAACGATGCTGCCCCGGGCCTGCACCGGCGGTTTGTTCCCGGACTCGCAGACACGGCACGCTGCTCGGACACACGCCAACGAATCCTGCTTTTACAGCCAACAGACCCGAAGGTAATGAAACCCTCCCGCAATCTTTTTTTTCTAATTTCCAAAAAGCAGCTCAGCGAGCAGCCCCGAACCGAGCGGCCCGGCGAGAGCTCGTCTTCTCTGGAGATCCCGACCCTTTTCTACAAGGCGGGGGAGATCTCTCACGATCTCTGCCTGTCCCAGGAAGTGCAACAGCACTGGGAAGACCGGCAGCCCACGTGCACGCCCCCAGCCCCGCCCCCCGGCGCGTCTGCGCCCGCTCAGGCGACAGCGCGGACCCGGCGCACTGGGGGAAGGGGGCGGGGCCACCTCACGTCACCGCCCCCTCCCCCAGCCCACGGCGCCGCGCCGTTCCGCTCGCTGATTGGCTGCTCCCGGCCGGGTTCCCCCCTCCCCCGCGCCGGGCGTGCGAGCGCGAGAGTTGGAGGGGGCGGGGCCCGGTTGTCATGGCAGTGACGTCAACGTGTGTCGGGGACGGGGAGCCAAGACACGGAAAAGGTCAAACTCAAGGCGAGCAGGGGACGCGGCCCGCGCAGGGACACCGGGGCCCGGCGCCGGCAGCGCGCAGGTACGGGGGGGCCGCATGGGGCACCGGGCCCTGGGGAGGGGGCGGGGGAAGGAGCCTCGTTGCGGGGGGGCTGCCCCTCCCCCCCTAGTGGTGGGAGCCTCGTTGGGGGGGGCTGCCCCTCCCCCCCTAGTGGTGGGAGCCTCGTTGGGGGGGCTGCCCCTCCCCCCCAGTGCTCTCATTTGGGGGTCCTGTGTGTGCCCCCTCTTCCAGATGTTGGCCCCTGCTGGCCTGGCTCCTGGGGGAGCCCCTGATGGAGCAGATGCGGGACTCCTAGCTTCTGTCACCTCCTTGGCCCCTGCGCTTGCTGCCTCAGTTTCCCCCTCCTAGCAGCCTGAGGGTGGCAGGTGTGGCGTGGGGGGCTTGTCTTGTCTACCCCCTGGCAGGGCAGAGGCAGAGGCAGAGGCAGGGGCTTGGTGGCGTGGTGCGGCTGAGGTGGGTTTGCAGGAGCGTGGCATTTCTGCGCAGGCTTGGGAAGTGGCAGCGCTCCCAGGAAGTCCCAGTTTGTTGTGGCACCCTGTGGCACGGCGCAGCAGCGGGTGATGCGCTTGGTCCAGGAGCGCTGGACATGGGCACCTTGCGGGTTGTCGGGAGCCGCAACTTCACTAGGGGAGAGTGACACGAGAAGTGACTTTCTTCCTATCATGGTGTGGGATAAAGCTCATCTCCTCTCACCGTGTGTAGGGGAGGGGGCTTAGTTGACTTCAGTTTAAAAAAAAAATTATATATATAGACACACCTCTGACGGCATCTACCAAAATAGGCATGTGTCAGAAATGTCATGTCCTTTCTTTTGGGAAGGAATCGGAAGACAGAGACTCTGACGTATTTGATGCACTCAAGAAAGTGTCTTTGTACTTGGCTTGTAATTTATCACAACACCGCGGAGTCGGACTTGCCAGGGCGAAGTAATTGCCTTGATTGAATGCCACTTCAGTCTCTAGTAGAAAAGTTTAATTAGGAAGGCTGGTTACAGCAAGTTCCCTGTCCTGGTAATGAAGAGTAAATTTAATAATATTTCAGCTTCAAGGAATGATGTTTTGCTTCCTAGCTGACTTCTTTATATGGTTGTTGCCTTTTATTGTGGGGTTTTTTTTTGTTTGATCAAATGGTTTAAACTTGCTGTAAAACAGAAGATTCAGTAGTGGTTTAAAGCAAATTTTAATGCCTACCACCCCTATCCCAAGCTTTGCTTTATTCATTTGAGTTTTAGGTCTCCCTTGGTAAGTGTTCTTTCCCTTCTATTTTAGGCTTATTTGTAGAAGAGTGCAGGCCAAAAAAAAAAAGGAAAGAAAAGGGGGCTGGACTGAATGATCTGTAAGGTCCCTTCTAGCCCCTGGTGATTATGAAAAGAAAAACTACTTTATGGGGCAAAAGCTTTCTTGAGTAATTTAAAGTACAACGCAGCATTCTGCCATTCAAGTTTAGATTAAACTGGCAAAATCAGTTTTAATATTTAGACTACCTGTCAGGAAAATGGATGGGTATGTGGAGGGTAAAGGATGGACAGGTTCAACAGTGTGCAGTGAAATTACAGTCAGAAGGGAGCTACTGCCCTTGCAAAACAAGTTTCACTAACTTTTAACCCCTAACATGCAGGTGCCCTGGAAAAACAAAACACCCAGTTTCACAGCTACCCCTAGGTATCTTTAATTTGTGCAAGCATTGCTTACTCAGCAGCTGCTCTAGGGCCGATTATGATGTCTGCAAAGCTACTGAGGTCATTTTAACATGCGTTAGTTGAACTTGAACTATTTTCTCCAAAAGTACGAGGCACCGCTGTGTTTTCCTGAAACTATACCTGTTGTTTTTCAGTTATTCCTTAGACATTTACTGCAGCACTTGCAAACAAAGGCCCAGCTGTCCTTGGGATCTTACTCTAGAACTTTTATTTTAGGACCGTGCTCTTCATGTTCCTAGTGAAATAGAACAAATTGTATGGTTTGCCGATCTTCCTTAACAGCTGTTCTCGTTGGGCATTCAAGAGCCTTAATGTATTTTGGCATGGGGAAAGCCACTGCAACCCACATATACATATGTGGGAGTGACATCAGTATGTTGTTGTTGTTGGTTTTTTTGTTTTTTTCCGAGCCACTTTCTGCCATCCATATCTAATAGTTTGAAGTCGTGTCCTGTATTGTATGAAGGAAAGCTGGGGTGTTGAACTGACCTGTGCCCCCAGGCCAGATCTGGACTGTGGGGTGACTCGCAGGCCAGATCCAGACTCACTGGTGGCAGTGGAACAAGTAATTTGGCAAGCAGTGGCGCATGGCAGCTGTCACTTGCTCCTAAATGGAACTCCATGGCTGGGAATTTAGTGGCAGGCCCCACCTGTGAGTTCCTGGTGCTTCTGGGAACCTTGTGGGTCAAGGGAAAAAGCTCCATGGGCCTCATGTTTGTTCTAAAGTATATACTGTACATCTCATGCTGCAGCTCTCATGTAAAAACTCGAGCCTCACCAACACTGGAGAATTTTAAGTGCTAAATGGTTATCGGCTCCCTGCTGTGTCAAACCTCTAAATGTAAATCTGCAAGTGGCTCTGAAGGTGGTTAGTAACATCACACTGTTGATGTAGATTTAAAGAAGGCTGGCTGAGTAGCTGTGAGTACAACATAATTAGCCCTCCCACTACTGTTCAGCAATGGACAGTGTACCTGGACCAATTCATATGCTGCTATGTGTGAACATATTGATAATTGTAAGTAAAACAAGATTTGTTTTGAAGATGGTTTGTTGCAGGCCTGTTACACTCAAGCTAACACTATTGCTCTAATTACACTTGATGTCATTCTGGTGTAGATGAGGCTCTACTGAATTCAAGAGAAATTACAGGAAAGCCAAGACTGCTGGATCAGGGCTTTTTATATATAGTTACTTTTGCCCTTCCTTCTCTATGGCTTGTATAAAGGATTTTGCCATCAAATAAATGTGTGTAACATTGTTCTGTGGTTAG